AAACTGTACACTAGATGAGCAAAAAAATTATTTGGAATGAACTGTATTCTATTTTATGGCACATTTAATTTCCAACAGTTTTATTATGTTACTAAAAAATTTTTATTTTGTACTCTCTGAGTTTTCTGTACTCTTTATTAGTTCTCATCTGAAAAATAAAAATCAACAGTTCATTTTCTCCCTTACAGTATTCAGAATGAGTGACAATCTTGTCCTTTACATAATAGTATAATTTTTTCTCTATAAGTATATAATTCTACTCACTTCAGTTCAATATAATTTGAGATGGTTCCCATGACCTATGCATTAAGCTTCAATCTAAAAGAAGTGTGCTCAGATGGATTTTTGTTTCCTATGTACACAACACTCTTTAGAGACAAACTCTCATGGAGTACAAAGTTCTTTTTCTGAATCCTATAATTAAAAAATTTAAAAAAAAAACAACTTCCCTTAACCTGTCTCCCTCAAGCTATTATTCCTTCTCCTTCCTCTCCTTCACTACTAAATATTTAGAAAAAAATAGCCTACACTTGCTGGCTGTCTCCACTTCTTCACCACCCACTTATGCCTTGAGTCCTTGCAATCTGGCTTTTATGTGGACCACTCCACTGAAGGAAGCTAGCTCCTCTCTCCAAGTCACCAATGATCTTATTACCAAGGTCCCATAGTTTTTCCTAGTTACCATCCTCTTTGATCTCTCTGAATCACCTGAATAATTGAGTTTAATAATAAATGTCATTACTTAGATGGAATCCTAAAAGCAATCAGAAAGATAATCACAGCTCTTTTCAAAAATACAAATTCAATGCAGACTATTTTTCTCTTTTTTTCTTTCTCTCATTCTTTTTTTATTTGAGTCTTGTACAAAATGACTAATGTGGATGTTTTATATGATTGTTTATGTATAAACTATAATGGATTGCTTACTGTTTGGGGAGAGGGGAAGGTGGGAGAGAGGAATAGAATTTGGAACTCAAAACTTTTTTTAAAATGTTAAAAATTGTTTTAACATGTAATTGGGGAAAAATAACATATATATATAAATACAAAATTCAAAAATTCAAATTTTTTAAGTGTCTACTACATACAAGGTACTATATAAAAACAAGTCTCTGCCTTTAGGGAACTTACAATATATACATACATATATAAAAATATAAATATACATATATACACATATATAGAGATACAAAAGCTACAGATAGATTAAATATTGGAGATACAAAGATGAAAAACCACATAATCTCTACCTCTTTGATTACAGAATTATAAAAAAATCAACATTATCATTACTTCTGGAAAGACCATGTCAGTGGGCTGCCCTATTACTCTAGTTAACATCCCTGTAAATCCTAAGACCAAAACACCCTTTCCTAGCCACCACTCTCTTATATGTATTGTTTTCTTCGATTGGAATATAATCAGGGGTGTGCTGGAGCCAGAGAGCTGATTGTGAAATTTACAGTGTGAGCATTTTACACCTCACAAATGCTACAAATGAAGTCTCAATTTATTGTTTTATTCATTGCCTAGTCTTTTTTTTTTTGGCTAGGCAGTAGGGTTAAGTGACTTGCCCAGGGTCACACAGCTAGTAAGTGTTATGTGTCTGAGGCCACATTTGAACTCAGGTCCTCCTGAATCCAGGGCCGGTGCTCTATCCACTTTGCCACCTAGCTGCCCAAAAATTGAAAATACTCTTTTTTTGTTTTTTAGGCAATCAGGATTAAGGGACTTGCCCAGGGTCACACAACTAGTAAAGTGTCAAGTGTTTGGTCTGAGGCCAGATTTGAACTCAGGTTCTCCTGGCTCCAGTCCAGAGTTCTATCCACTGCACCACCTAGCTGCCCCCTTCATTGCCTAGTCTTAAGAAAGTAACAGAGAAAATGTTAATGATACAGACTAAAGTTAAAAGTATGTTGGCATAATTTGGGAGGAGCGAGTTGGTTGTCAAACATTTTCCACCACACTATTCAATGTAAGCTTCTTGAAGGAAGATTTTTGTCTTGCTTTTTGTATTGGTATCCCCGACACTTAGCACAGTGCCTAGCAAATAATCAGACCTCCCTCATTTGACTGATGAAAGGTGAAATGAGTTTCCCAAAGTCTCACGAGTACCACATTGTAGAGGTGGCATTCAAACTCAACTCCTTTAACTCCAAATCCAGCTCTCTTTTCAAGGGCATTAGGCGACCTGTATATTCAACTAATAATTTCTTTCTCATGCTTTTTGGCCTTCCATCATTTCCCCCAGAATGTTGTTAGAGGATTCTAAAATGGAGGTTAAAATGATCTATTGTGACACTCTAGAGTCAATACACAAAATGGGAGGCTGCTGTGAATGTCCAGTTGAATTTGGTTAAATGTCAGTTATCTGTGATCTTTATTAAGCATAATTACATAATTTAAACATGCAGCCCCAGCTCAAGGACTCTCTAAGTTGATCAACCTTATTGTTTACTATCCTAGGAAGAGAACATGGGGAGGTCATAGATACCACTCTACAAGTGCTGTCTATGCCCTCTATAGGTAGAAGAGATTTCTTCCCAAGAGAAGGAAGTCCCAGATACTGTATAAGTCACAGAAATTCAAAAGCTGATTAGATGACTCATCTCAATTCATAAAGCTGATTCTTACTGAGGTCCAGCGAGCCAATACATAAGGATCTTTCTAAGTTAAATGACTTTTGGTGTTTGACGGGAGATTTTAAGGATGAGCTGCCTTAAAATATTGAACCAGAGAACCCAAATCTCAGATTCTTGTTACAGATATCTCCACTACTGGCTTACTGTGTAAGCAGATTACTTACTCTCATTGCCTTTTTGGTATCATCAATGTTTCTGTCATTTTCCCCAATAAAATATAAGCTCTTTGAGGGCAGGAACTGTTTTATTTTTGTCTTTGATTCTCTATCACCTAGCACAGTTCTGTGCACAGAGTAAGCACTTAATAAATAATTATTGATTGATTATGTAAAAAGGGGATACCCATACACCTGCCCTTTATCTGCTTTGGTGAGATCTTTCCTAATAGAACCATGTGTTTATAGAATAATCAGTGGGGGAAGTAAAAGGTGACTTGTCCAAAATGACTTCGCTCCAGACTGACACAGTGTCTAAAATACACATTATCTGAATTCATAGGATCATGGAATTATAGATTTAGAGCTGAAAAGGACCTACAAAGTGTTCTAATCCAAGCTCTTATTTTACAGGTGGGAAACTGAGGTAAAGAATTAGGGTACTGTCTCTAAATATGCTGGTTAACATAACTAGCACTTGTAAAGCATTGTAAAGTTTTTAAAAGACTTTATCTACATTTTCTCATTTGAACTTCATAGTAACTCTTTGATATAGATAATACAGGTATCATTGTCCTTGTTTTGTAGATAAAGTAACACAGTCTCAGAGAGGTTAAGTTATTTGTCCATGGCTACTTATCTAATAAATGTCAGAATCAGTATTTGAACCTAAGGCTTTTTGCTAAAATGCAAATATGTTACCTGAAAGAGTTAATGTATTAATGTTAGCACTGACTGATCAGATTCTCTACTGAACAGTAGTATTTTGAGTAAAAAAGCCATGGTCAGCCAGATTGGCAGGGAAATAGTGAGGGTCTATTGGCTTCAATAAATGTGTTTATCTGCTTTAAAAAAAAAAAGAAATCTAAGGGCAGCTAGGTGGTATAGCGGATACAGCACCAGCTGTAGAATCAGGAGGACTAGAGTTCAAACTCGGCCTCAGACATTCAGCAGTTATTAGCTGTGTGACCCTAGGCAAGTCATTTAATCCCAATTGCCTTGCTAAAAAAAAAAATTCTATAGCATGAGACATAGCTATGACATGTGGGCAAATGGCCTTGTCCAATAATTGGGGAGAAGGTGATATGTGTCAACTTAGATCAGTCTGTGGTAAAGAGATGAAGCTGAGACCATCTGAAAACACAGGTGTTTCCAACAAAAGAACAAAAAGAGCAAGTTAGCCTGGAGGAACTAGCCTCAGAGTAAGGAGGCCTAGATGGTGGCTAGGTGGTGCAGTGGATAGTGTCAGCTCTGGAGTCAAGAGGACCTAAGTTCAAATCTAGCCTCAGACACTTACTAGCTGTGTGATCCTGGACAAGTCACTTAATTCTATTAAGTAATTCATCTGGAAAATGAGCTGGAAAAGGAAATGCCAAACCACTGCAGCATCTTTGCCAGGAAGACCCCAAATGGCGTCACAGAGAGTCAGACACAACTCAACAACAACAAAAAGAAGCCTAAATTGGTGTGGTGGAGTTTAAAGCAGAGGGTGGGGAGGGCAGTGGTCTGAAGGCCCAGAGGAAAGAGGTGTCTAGTCCTCAAAAACTAGCGTGGCTGAAAGACCCAACTTGTAGAATTTGGCAGAGCAAAACTGAGAGACAGGAGAAATAGAAAGACACAACTTCTTTCTGTCAGAGCATTCAAATCTCCAAGGAAGGATGAAAGAAGCTAGCTTCGGGGTCTAAAAGAGAAGTTTGAGAGTGGAGCCAACATGGGCTTTTCAAAGCTTTGACCAGTGAGTTGAAGGTTAACAGCCTAAGAACTGGGGAAACCAGAAGTGAAATCCCCAGCCAAACACAGATTCCCATAGATTATCTTTGAAGGCTAGGAAAACAGATTTTGAAAAACTTGAAATTTGGTCTCAAAAGACCTAAGTTCCAATCTCAAACTCTGACATTTCTGTGAATATATATGCGCATATATATATAGATATATATATATCTATATCTATATAGATATATATATATATATCTATATTAAAGCAAGCTGCAAGTAATAAAGATTCATGGTTTCACACGTAATTCTCTTTTTCTATTCTACTTTTTACTTGGAAATATTATCTTTTTATTGGCTGTTAAATGCTTAATTAAAAAAAATTTAAAGACATGTATACACACACACACACACACACACACACACACACACACACACAGAGTCTCCCTGCTAACTAAGCCTCCTTATTGATCTGCTTTTAAACTCACAGGGACATTTCTTACACTAGTGTTACTGCCCTACCACCTAAGGGTCTGGAGCATCTGAAAGAACTGGTAGCAAGAAATACTTGGACTCTTAAGAAGCTTCCCTTTTCTCTGAGTTTCCTTCACCTGATACGGGCTGACCTTTCCTATCCAAGTCACTGCTGTGCTTTCAAGAACAGAAAGAAAAACAAAGGGTAAGTGTGTGGCATGAATTTGGCCTGCAGGTTCCTTATCTAAAGAAAGAGGGGTGCAGACATTCCCAAAGTGAGTGATAACACCCTCTGGGGGGCACTGGAAGCATCCAGGGCCGGCAGTAGTAGCCTTGAGTGCAATTGGAGGGCATTGAATAAAAATAAGGGGGCAGCAGAAGCATAAGGAAAGAAGAGAAGAAAATTTTGAAAAACCATTTGTATATGTTTCATCTGTTGTGTAAAAGAGTTAAAGTCATAGTGATTATATTATTTTCCAAATAAACACAAAAAACACAAGTTATAACCCATCAGTAGTCAAGTCTGCTGATAGGTCTTAACAAAGCAAATGTTGGCAGGTGAGCTGCTGTGCATTGTTGAGAAGCCCAGCATGCATCAGCAGGAATATGTGCATGTAATGACTTGTTTATAATACAATACTATAGTTAAATGATGCAAGATTGCATCATCAAAATTTCAATGCAGGAAAAAACCCACAAATTTACAATAAATTATTAAATTTATGGTGCATCTTTTTAAAAAAAGCTTTTTTGTTTTGAAATGATGCAAATTTCAAAAAAAAAAACCGTTGAAGGGTTAAAGAAAGTAGATTTCCAGGACTGCGCTGAGTAATTTTTTTTTTTGAAAAGGGGGCAGGATGCCAAATAAGTCTGGGAACCTCTGGACTAGATGAACTCTAAGGTCCCTTCTAGCTCTAAAGCTATGATACTATGATCTTGATGCTTGAGATTGTGCTCTGTGAGTAGAAGAGACAACATGAGTGTCATAAGTAAACAGATTTGGACTACCTGCTCATCTTCAATTGAGATATCAAAGGCCCAGAACTTTGTGACTGCCTCGCAATTATCATGACACAATGGAATGTCACTCGTTTTTGTTGGCATCACCTGATTCAGCTCATTTGTACACAGCACTATACAAAGCAAGTTAGATGGGCATGGTCACTGTCCCTTAGGGCATTACATTTAAGACAAGCAGCCATGATGAAGAATGTCCAAACAATTTGGATTAATTCCTCAAAGCAAGCTAAGCAGCTATCCTAATTTCAGGCCATATGTCATGCTTCAAAGGAGTAAGTCTCTCCCCCTCCACACAATGATTATCCTCTTCCTCTCCTATCTACCCTGTATCTCTTACACTCTCATCCTTTCTTCCTTACCATGATTCCTTCCTTACCTCCTCTGTACTCACTCTCTGCCCTACTTCTATACAGATCTATCCTGCTGGTGACAAATCTGGGCCCAACTATGGAGGCAGGATCAAATAGGAAAATGAAAAGTTGTGCAGGGAAGACATATTTAGCTGTAACAGCAGCAGGAAAACTGGAGGGATCAGGGAAATCTATTTAGGTGGCAGATGAATTAGGTGGCATTTGGGAGAGATGAACCCTAAAGTGAACCATGTTGGCTTTTCCTCAACTCCAATATAGATAGGAATAGCCAAGTCTCCAGATAGTTTACTCTACACCAGGAAAATTAGTTGAAGTCAGATTAAGAGATGAGACAAAATGAAAACTGTACTTGTTGTTAGAACAGGTGGGGTGAGGTCATAATTCATCTTCCTTCTGGGATGATCACTAGAAAGAATCAAGTCAATGAACTCTGTTGCCTTTCAGAATCCTCGAGTCGCTAATGTGCAACCAGAGCAGCATTCAGAGCTTGCGCCAGAAGAAATCTGTCAGGGCTTTGAATGGTCCCTTCTACCAGGACTCTTCAGAGGAACAGAACCACACAAATGCAGTGTATGAGGAAGACTCCACAAGACAGAATTTCCAGAGCAATTCCCAATACTATGTCTTTGAAGAACAGGAGGATGAGAATATTGGATTTGGCCAAGAACTTAAAAACCCTCAAGAATTTATTATACAGGCATTTGATAGTCATTATGACTATACAGTGTGTGGAGGAAATGAAGACGTGGCATGCTCCCCAGAGCCAGATGAATTCAATCCCTGTGAAGATATAATGGGATATAAGTTTCTTAGAATTATAGTGTGGTTTGTCAACCTGCTGGCTCTCCTTGGCAACTTCTTTGTCTTGTTTATTATCCTTACCAGCCATTACAAACTCACTGTCCCACGCTTTCTCATGTGCAACTTGGCCTTTGCTGACTTCTGTATGGGGATCTACCTGCTCCTTATTGCTTCTGTTGATCTCTACACCCGCTCTGAGTATTACAACTATGCCATTGACTGGCAGACTGGTTCTGGCTGCAACACAGCTGGATTTTTCACCGTTTTTGCCAGTGAGCTGTCTGTGTACACACTGACAGTCATCACACTAGAGCGCTGGTATGCCATCACTTTTGCCATGCGTCTGGACAGGAAGATCCGCCTACGGCACGCATATATAATCATGTTAGGTGGGTGGGTTTGCTGTTTCCTCCTAGCCCTGCTTCCACTGGTGGGGGTCAGCAGTTATGTCAAAGTCAGTATCTGCCTCCCCATGGACACAGAGACTCCCCTTGCTCTTACCTACATCATTGTGGTGCTGCTGCTGAACATCATTGCTTTTATCATCATCTGTGCTTGCTATGTAAAAATTTACATCACTGTCCGAAATCCCCAGTACAGCCCAGGTGACAAAGACACCAAAATTGCCAAGAGGATGGCTGTGCTGATCTTCACTGATTTCATGTGCATGGCCCCAATTTCCTTCTATGCTTTGTCAGCTGTTATGAACAAGCCCCTCATCACTATTAGCAATTCAAAAATCTTGCTGGTCCTTTTCTACCCGCTTAACTCATGTGCCAATCCATTCCTCTATGCCATCTTCACCAAGGCTTTCCGGCGAGATGTTTTCATTCTACTGAGTAAATTTGGTATCTGTAAGCACCAGGCTCAAGTTTACCGAGGGCAGACAATCTCGCCAAGAATAGCATTGGTATTAATGGCCAGAAAGGTTGTCGGGGGGCAGGGAAGGCTCTTGCCAATGTGCAAGATGACTATGAACTATCTGAAAATGTTCATCAGGCCAAAGACAAGCAGAACCAACTCAAGGTAGACTGCAAACTGACAGTTCTATAAACTCATCCTCATACTCTACAACATCTCATAATGGTAATCTGACTGACAGAATCCTGATTTCCTAATTGAAGCATTCTAATTCTGGGCCACACTTTTCCCCTCTCCCTTCTGTTCCTGCATTTCTTACAATGAATAAATAAATATATATTTTGCACATGAATGACTTTAACCTAATCTCTCCCCATAAGATATCACCTTAGGAGAACAAGGAAGTATTACTAAGATTACATCTCAAACTTAGGTGATAGCAAAATGATCCATCCTCTGGGAGATTTCCCAACTAATTTGTTCCAGAAACAAGTCTGAAGACAAAGTTCTCTAAAGAGGACACAGCAAAAGTCAGTAGAGCTATGACAGTGGAGATCCTCCCACTTCTGATGCCACCTGTAGTGATGTGGAGTCTGCACTTGGACATCGTCCAATGACGTGGCTGATGCCACCTAGTTCATTATATGCTCCTTTAAGCTGCTTTAGCTTTGTGGTACTTTGTACTGCCACAAAGAACTGAAACTGACTTGAACCTAAAGTCAAAACATAAGACCATAAGGAGAGTGGTTATTTTGAGCAATGAATAACAGAGTGAGGATGGGGCTGTGAGGGAGAACCTTTTTCAAGATGTCTTTTCTGACTCTAGCCACTCCTTGAAATCACTTACATTATTCATCTCTACAAGGACCTACCAGGGATCCAATCATTTTGTGTTGCCCAGAAGAATAATGCAGGCTTGTTTCTATGACTAAAAGCCTATCTTCTTCATGAGTGTCTTAGAAAAGAATGGAATTGCAGAAACCATATCTGATTAGCAACAAGTATCTGTTATGGTACTCACAAAAGTACCACTTTGGCCCACTATACATAGTTTTCCTTATATATTACTCCTATGAAAAGCTTTTTTAAGTTTCTACAAGATAAAGTTAACTTGATTTTACCAATGCCATCTCTCTTTAGCCCTGACTGCTTTCTCATTGCTTCTCCTTTCCCTAGACTAAGGGAATATAAGTTATTTGCTTTCTGAAATAGTCACACTGGATCAGGAGTCAGGAAACCTGAGTTCTAGTCCTGACCTTACCACTCTCAGGCTGTGTGACCTTAGGCAAGTCCCTTAATTCTCTCTGACCCACAGTTTCTTCATTTTTAAAATGAAGTATTTGGACTGGATCAATCCTGAAGTCCTTTCCAGTTCTAAGACTCTATGACGAGGCTCCTACGGACACCTATTTCCATCCAAGAGAATCACACAAAAAGGAAATGGAAAAGAAAAAAGACAAGACTATCACATTTCCTTTAAGCCAAATTTCTGTTTCTCAGAGGGCTCTGGGCAGGTGAGTACAGGTTTCCTTTCACTCCACCTCAGCTACAGGGTTCTTAAGATTACTAAACCAGATAGGGAAGATTCTAATGATGAATTGAACTGAATCCGAATTGTTAAATTGGCATCTAGTCTACAGAAGACAATTGTTCTATGACTGTTAGGACAAAAAAGATATCATACAAAACTTTTTGGCCTGAAGTACTCACATTAATTGAATAATGTGAATTGTAAAAGATAATGGTAAATCAGAGTAATTCACTATACAGAGACACGCAAAGCCTTCCCATCCTACCTCCATCCCCAGTCCAAGTAGCTAATATATCCTCAAAAATTGAGGCAAAATTTGAACCAAATCAAAAAGTAACAGAAAGGTGAGTAAACAATGCCGCCTAAACCCATGATGTTAAAAAATCTATACATAGTGTTGGCTTCTCCTTGGAACCTGAAAAATCCCACCAGGTATAGTTGACCTTGTATAAAAGTGTTCTTCTCTTTACCAAGATTCTATAATTGCCCACAATTTAGGGATCTTTATCAACAAATGCCGTCACTTTGTTTGCCTGTACATAGGTACTCTAATTCTCTGCTGAAAGACCCCAAGCACAGAAGTCATCTTTTTCTCTGTGCTCATTAACTCTTAACATAAAATATAAGTTTTTTGTTGCTCTCGGACTGTATTGTGCCAAGTTAGTGTGCCAAATGAATCCACTTGCAACTATCAAATCTGACTACAATTTTCATAGTGCCAGGTTATTTGAAGACTTTCACATTTTAATAGGAAAATTCTAAGTATCTAATATCATTAGTTACTCCCAAGCTGGCAAGCAAGTACATAAAATCTATTTAATTGATTGTTACTTTGTGTTGTACGTTCTTTGTCTGTGATATTTTACAATGTCTCGTCTCAATAAAATAACAAGTTTTCATCTTAAATATATGAACCAGTGCTTTTAAAGCATAGCCCTAGAAAATGTGACTACAATAGAATCTTGACTAAAAATGATTGTGCTACATTTTTCTCATGCTTTAAATCTCCCTCTTCTAAAATGTATCGCCTTGAATTGTACAATCTTCCTCTCTCTAATTCCAGGGTTCTTTTTCTGTGTCTAATGGGTGTTTTATAACTAAAGACCACAAGAGCAAATGTCCAACTAGGAAGAATGAATTACCTTTGCCAATAATGGTCTTGCTTGTTTTCCTTGTAAATGATGACCCTTGGCTAGCTAGAGACCCTATGTTTAACTTATAAATGTCATTTTGTGAAAACAGTGATAGTAAATTACATATCGTTTTTCTGATAAGCTCGTGAAGGTATGGGAGCTTACATCAAACGGTTACCAATTTTGACAATGGAACTGTACACAGAAATCTAATAAATAAATATGAGTTATGGCTATAAAATAATGAGGCTGGTTTTTATTAATGATTGTCATCATCACTCAAATGTATTCAGCCTAACTCTCTGGTGGTCAATCAGTAAGCATTTCTTAAGCTCTTATTATGGGTCATTCACTGTCTTGCCCAGGGCATACAAAGAAAGGCCCTGCTGACGCTGTACCTGCCCTCTATCAAGCACATTCTAATAAGGGAAACAATATGCAAATAACTCTGTGCATACACAACATGTCACAGACTAGATCAAAAGTAATCTCAGAGGGCAAGGCAGTATGGTGGGACTAGGGTTACAGGGACAGGAAAGGCTTCCTGCAAAAGGGATTTGAGCTGAGGGTTAAAGCTAACCAGAAGGCAAAGGTGAGGAAAGAGTGAGCATTCCAGGTCAGCGAAAAGGCAAGGACTCAGAGTAGGCGTGTGTGTGCAAGGAACAGTAAGACAGACAGTGCAGCTATGCTGCAAAGCACTAGGAGGAGAACAAAGTTTCAGAAGATGAAAGGTAGGAAAGGGACAAAGTTGTGAAGGGCTCTAAGTGCCAAATGAGATTTTATATTTTATCTTGGAGATAAAATTTATTTAATAGGGGGCATAACATGGCCAGACCTGGTGCTTCAAGAAATTCACTTTGGCTATTTATAAAGCAGTAATCATCAAAACTATATGATACTGGCTAAGAAATAGAGTGGCGCATCAGTGGAATACATACACAAGGAATGGAAGAGGTACACAAGACACAGTAGTAAATGACCATAGTAATCTAGTATATGATTAACCGAAAGACCCCAGCTTCTGGGATAAGAACTTACTAATTGACTAAAACACCTGGGAAAACTGGAAAACAGCATGGTAGAAACTAGGTAGAAACCAACATCTTACACTATACCAAGATAACATCCAAATGGGTACATGATTTACACAGGAAGAATTTACCTGTTATAATATATACGGAGAAGGGAAGAATTTACAATCAAACAAGAAATAGAGAACACTGAGATGTAAAATGAATAATTTTAATTATGTTAAATAAAAAAGGTTTAGCACAAACAAAATAATGCAACCAAGATTAGGAGGAAAGCAGAAGGCTGAAAATAATTTTTACAGCACATGTTTCTGATAAAGACCTCATTTCTCAAACACATAGAGAACTGAGTTAAATTTATAAGAATATAAGTCATTTCCAAATTGATAAATGGTCAAAGGACATGATATGTAAAAAACATGCTCTAAATCACTATTGATTAGAGAAATGCAAATTAAAACAACTCTGAGGTACCACCTCACACCTATCAGACTGGCTAATATGACAGAAAAGGAAAATGATAAATGTTAGAGAGTATGTGGGAAAACTGGGGCACTAATGCATTGTTGATGGAGTTGTGAACTGATCTAACCATTGTGGAGAGCAATTTGGAACTATTCCCAAAGTGCAATCAAACTGTGCATACCTTTTGATCCAGCAATACTACTGCTAGGTCTGTATCCCAAAGAGATCCTAAAAAAGAGAAAAGGACCTACAGATACAAAAATGTTTATAGCAGCTCTTTTTGTGGTAGCAAAGAATTGGAAATTAAAGAGATGCCCATCGATTGGGGAATGGCTGAACAAGTTGTGGTATATGAATGTAATGGAATACTATTGTTCCATATGAAACAGATGGACTTCAGAAAAATCTGGAAAGATTTACATGAACTGATGTTGAATGAAGTGAGCAGAACCAGGAGAACATTGTACATAGTAATAGCAACATTGTGTAATGACCAACTTTGATAGACTTAGCTCTTCTCAGCAATGAAATGATCTAAGACAATTCCAAAAGACTCATGATGGAAAATGCTATCTGCATCTAGAGAAAGAACTCTGGAGTCAGAATGCAGATCAAACCATACTATTCTTACTTTTTTTGTTGTTTTTGTTTTTTCTTTCTTGCAGTTTTCCCCTTTTGTTCTGATTCTTCTTTCACAATATGACTAATCTGGAAATATGTTTAATACAATTGTACCCATATAACCTATATCAGATTGCTTGCCATCTTGAGGAGGGAGAAAAAATTTTGCAACTCAAAATCTCACAAAAGTGAATGTTGAAAACTATCTTTACATGTAACTAGAAAAAATAAAATGCTATTAAGTGGGAAAAAAAACCTTGAAGCCTGAGGCATCACCTCCCCACACACACCTTGGGACTAGAGCCTGACTATAATAATGTCACAAAAAATAATAATGACTAAGCAAAGGAGAAAGAACCTGACCATGGACAGGTACTTTGGAGATAGAGAAGATCTGGATTCATACTCAGAAGTTAGTGAAGCTAAAAAAGCCAATACTACTTTAAAGAAAAATGTCAAATAGTCACAAGTCCAAAAAGAGTGCTTGGAAGAGCTTGAACGGCTTAAAATCAAATATGAGAGGTTGAATAAAAATTAAGGAAAAAATAAGAGGAAGCTAAGAAAATTTTAAAAAATTATGAAAAGAAAGTAAACCAAGTGGAAAAAGAGATCCAAAAACTTAAGAAAGAAAATAACTAGAATAAGTAGAATTTATTATGCTTCAGCTGAGGCAAAAAAAAAAAAAGCAAGAGTGGCAATCTTGATCTCAGAT